CGACTGAGCCATCTCCCCAGCCCCATGTTTGTATTTTATATAATTATTGACTTTCTTCTATTTAGTAATAATTGCCCTTTTCTCCTTGGTAAGGAACTCCAATTTGTTAGTGAAATATATAACCCCACCCCTAAAAATAAAAAAATCACTTCACTTTCCAATCTCAATAGTTCACTGGATGATCTAATTCTGCCCAATGAGACACAAGTAAAAGTCTGTTGGGGCTAGAAAGCTATTGTTTTCCTTTCCTCATTTAAAAAGACAATGTAGGTTCTTTCCTCTTCCTTCTAGACTCTCCTCTCCATCCATCCCATCTTAAAACAAACATGATGGAACTATGGCAACCATCGTGGATCCGGGAGGCAACATACTGACAAAGAAACCAAAGAAACATTAAGTCGCTGGTGCTAATGTAACTGCTAACCAAAGCCAGCAACCGCTCCTAGATTTCTTGTTATGAGAGAAAAATAAACCCATATAGGTGTCTAAGCCACTGTTGTTTGTGCTTTGTTACAAGCTTTGTTCCTAAGCTATACATTCCTTGAGCACGTGCCATGTAAGGATGGGAAAGAGCCAGGGACATGCATGAAGTATAGGAAGTCAATTGGATTTCCCTATGGCTGTCAGTCCCCCAGACAGATCACTAACGTGCGTGTGACCATGACACTGAGCACCTTGTTCACATCCTCCTCACCTTCTCATTCACCCACACATACACTTTTGGGGGATAGTTCCTTCTCTCAAGAAAAGTGTATGATGCAACCAGGATGGTTAGAAACATGTACAAAAAGCTAAAAGAAAATGGCTAAGGCCAAGAAAGAGACTATAAAAATGGTCCTTTGGGAATGAACTATTTACTTAACTGAGAGGTAACAAGTGGTTTCCTCAGGTGAGTCAAATTTCCCCCTGTTCACCACCTTCCCTTCCCACCAAAACCAGGGGCTGCAGAAATTTTAGGAGACCCTAGAGAATATTACACATAAGGACCCGTGAACCACCAGCATGGGACCCAGTGCTCCTGATCTTCAGTTGTTCTTATGAACATAAAAAGGGCTCTTGTGCTTTTTTGTTTATTCAAAAATTCTAGAATATCTCCAGTATGCCAAAAAGGAAAATGAAATGGATGAGAGGGGGATAAAGAAGAGGAGAGAAGTGGGTATGTTCAATTCACGTGCCATCTTTCCCTAAGAGGGGAGCTGAGTTAGGGGATATGAGAGTAAGAGGATATAATAATAAAAAATCCGTTAAGAGGCCCTTCAATGGACTACAATTCACCTGGCCCCAAATTCATGTGTTGATATCCTAAATCCTGGCATGACTGTATTTGTTTATATGGTCTTTAAGGAGGTCCTCACAGTTAAATAACAAAAGGAGCCCTAATCTAACAGAACTGATTTTCTTAGATAAGGAAACACTGGAGATGGGAGATATACATGCGCAAAGGCAAAGTCATGCGAAGTCCCATCAAGAAAGTAGCTCTCTGCAAGTCAAGAAGATGGGTTTTTCCAGAAACCAACCGCAGCAACATTTTCATCGTGGATTTCTTTTTGTTTTGTTTTGTTTTGTTTTTTGAGACAGTGTCGCCCTGTAGCCCCAGCTGGCCTGTAACTCACTATGTAGACAAGGCTGGCCTTGAACTCATAAGAGATCCGCCTGCCTCCACTTCCCAAGTGCTGGGATTAAAGGTGAGCGCCACCACACCTGGCTTCACCGTGGATTTCTATCCTCCACAACTGTGAAAATTACCTTTCTAACATTCAAGCCAGCCAGTCAGAAGTCTTGTGGCATGGCAGTCCAGGCTGATCAGAGAACCCCCAGGGGTGGTACATTTCAGGATGTGGCTGTGGTAAACTGCAGCCTGTCTCTTCCTGCTGACGTAATTCAGCTTACAGACCCCTTTATGTTAATCGACTCAATAAGGTTTTTTACTTTGATTATTTTGAGGATGAGTCCAAGACCAAGTTTGAAATTAAGTATAACTGCAATTTAGAAAAGAGTGAAGGACCTTCTTACAAAGTGGGTGGGAATTTCAGAGCAGCTTTGATCTCCACAGGTAGAGAAGGGGAAGGGGACTTTCTGACCAAGCCAAGACCCAGAACCCGGAGAAGCAAGAACAGGCTCCTTCTTGAGTTGCACTGGTATTTATTTTGAACATGTACAATGTGACCATTAGTGCTGGAAGAGCCAGGGACACAGTAAATAAAACAGAACTGACCTTCGCCTTGGAAACACGCTGGGAATTATTCAGGGCACAGAGAATGTGGAGGGATTACTGGCAAGTAAAGCTTAGAGTGTTGGGTGAAAATAGCCTGTGGGAGCTGGGAGCCCTGTCTAGGAATGTGTCCTTTATCCAAGAGGCAAATAGGGAACCAGTCCAGGCCAATACACACTGAGTGTTCTGCTTACAGTTGGCTTTTAAGAATATGAATCTAGAAGCTGTCAGTTGGTTCATCTGAAGTGGGAAGAAATTAGAGACTAAAAAAACAGCTAAGGAATAAGTTCAAAAACTTGGATGTAGTAAGGGTCTGAGGCAAAGCAATATCAAAAGTACATGTGTTTACTGATGCAACATCACAAGCCATGTCAGAAGAAAATGTCAAAGTGGACACATTGTCAGAAACTCTCAGAAGTACAGTCGGTACAGACCTTAGAAGTTTCCACAATATAAAGGTCTGTATTCTAATATAGAGGAAGCAAAGCAGAATTCATTTGTAAGCTGGGAAATGGTAGCCACCTTACCTGGCATTGTTTAGAGTAACAAACTTTCCACACATCAGATTCAAAAACCAAAAATTCTCCAATGACCTTGTTGTAATTAACTTCAGCAAATCATGATAAAACATAAGGAATTTGGAGATTCCAATAGGAGAATGAAGTTTGAAAGCCTCTATTCTGGGAACTTCTAGCTATAGAGCATAAGCAAGGTAATCAGTTAAATCCCTCTCTCCTGTCCCCAAGTGGGGCTTGACATAATCATTTAACCACTGACTCTCCAGGAAAAAGAGAAAATACTCTGCTTTGTAGCTTTCCCAATTTCTACAGTTTCAGTTCTCCTGTTGTGGCCAATTTCAAAGCACCGACGCGATGTCAACCAGATCATTGAGCTCCCAAAGATGTATCAATTGGTTTTCACAAGCTAGTGTGAGCTTGCTCTAGCATAATATTGCTTCTAAGGCTCAACTTTCACATCTTAAAAAACTAGTAATCACACCACCTGTTCATGCCAAATCTGAGATAAGTGAAAAAACCTAATATGGGGCTATTGACAGATAAGAGATTCAATAACTATTTGTATGTCACTATTTGTATGTATGTATCGAACAATTGAACATCTACTGTGTAACAGACCCTGTTCCACAAAATAAAGGCAGGAAACAAAAGAGGGAGTCTGCATACATAGAGGTAGGTGGCATTCTAGACTGGGAACGATCAACAGAAATGGATGGATGGATGGATGGATGGATGGATGGATGGATGGATGGTAAACAGCCTGATAGGTAGCTAGATGATAGGTAAGTGGGTAAATAGATGGGTGGATGGACAGATGGGTGGAAAGATGGATGGATGAATGGTAAACAGTTTGATAGGTAGATGGATGGATGGATGGGTGAGTGGATGGATAAATTAACAGGTATTCTGATAGAAATACTGTGTGAGGGATCAAACAAGTTAAAAACAAGGGGAGAGAGAGGAGAGTGGTCTTACTCTACCAGATATGGCAGCCTAGAAAGACCTCACCAGTGAGAAATGTGATGGGTGGGATGGAGGCATGAACTACATGATCATCTGGGACAAAGTGTCCCAGATAGAGGGTGAGCTCATTCCAGAACCTAAGGCAGGCATGGGCAAGGCATGCTCCAGGGTGGAGCAGACACAGGTAGAAACACAGGTGAGGAGGAAACTGAATTTTAAAAATTCCAGGGAATGAAAGAAATGGTTACTGAGCAGCAGAGTGAAGGGGAGGCAGGGAAGAATCTCAAACCTGGCTATGTTCTAGGAGCCTTTACATCTCTAGAGACATGGAGGTCAGGGATCACCAATAGATGGGCCTGGACCTCTGCCCTTCTGTGTTTCCTAAAAGTGATAGGAGCAGCTTGTTGTACAGAGTCATTCTCATTCTTCAGTGATTTCACACTTAAATGACAGAGCCAGACCCAATGACTTCCATGAACAGGAACTACTCTTGGCTGTGGAAGCATGGCCCTCTGTGGCCAAGGAAGGAGACAAGATACATGTAGACAATACAATAAAGTGGCCTGATAGAGTCCTACTGCTAGATATAAAAACTCCCCCTGGCCCAGGATCCTGCCTGCACTTAGTGTGTTAACTCCAAGCCTAGTAAAGTGCTGGCAGGTGTGCTATATTGTATTGCTCTACATAAATGGTAACCAGGAGAGGCTGACAATGGCCCCTAAGGAACTGCAAGATCCCACATTGTCAACCCAACATGGACATTTTTAAACAAGGAGGTTTAAATCTTGAAGATGCTATAGTTTTATTTTCTTGGTTTAGTATTTTTGTTTTTAAATGTAGTTGCTAAGACACCAGCCACAACATTATCCAGGGTCCTTATCAAGTAAAATACAAATTTCTGGGCCTCATTTCAGATGTATTGAATCAACAGAACTGGAGGCACCCAGAAACCTTGGCACAAGCTCCTTAGCAGGGCTGATGCTACAGGATGACGGTCCGGGACTCATTGCTTTAAAGAGAAAGCATAGAGAACACAGCTTCTTTTCATTTCAGTTTTGTATGTCTCCACAAAGAGTTCTAAAGAAATTGCTTGTATTAACTTCCTTTTCAAAATCTCTGTAGCCCAGGTCACAAGCTGACTTTGTTTAGAGAAATGAATTGAGACCAGACAGAGCCCCGTGTGACTGCAGCATCCTGTCAATTGATCCATTCATTCAAAAGTTTCCAACTCAGAGATACTGAATACCTTCCATGGAAGTATCTCCCTGATCTAGAGCTGAAGAAGAGGCTTTCTGGAACTTCCCTACCTGTGAAGAGGGCATGGTAGTGAAGGCCCTTTTCCTTGTCCTGATGGGAGCAGACATCAAATAAGTAGGCCTTGATGGGTCCATCAATGAAGTCAGCAGCAAAGTCAAAGAGAACTACACCTATCATGGTGATGCTTATGGTCCAAACCAGCTTCCTCTGTGGGTTAGCAACCAAAGCTGAAAGAAACGAGCATTGATCTAAATCCTGCTGACAATGACTCATATACTTTTATTTTATCTAAACTGCTGTCATCAAGTCGTCCCCTTTTGGCTTCATATTTTTTTAATTTTTTCATATAAAATGACTATTATTTTTCAGGTTTAAAAAATTATGCAACTGAATGTCTAGGACAAACAAAAATCTATAAACAGGAAGTGAATTGGGGGGCCAGAGAGATGGCTCAGCAGTTAAGAACACTGAGTGTCTTGCAGGAGACCTGGGTTCGAATCCCAGCACCCACATGGTAGCTAACAACTGTCCATAACTCCAGTCCCAGGGGATCCGACAGCCTCTTCTGACCTTCGCAGGCATTGCACAACTCGGGTGTACTTACCTACATGCAGGCATAACACTCATATACATAAAAATAATAAAATATTTTTTAAAAAAGAAAGTGAATTAGTGACTGCCTAGGAGCTGGTGCCTAGGAGAAAACAGAGTGACTGCCAGAGGGTAATGGGTTTCTTTTGGGGGCAATGAAAACATTCTAGAGAGTAGTGATCTTTGCTTAACCTTGTGAATATTCTAAAAAGCACTGAATTATTTACTTTATCAGAATATTCTGGGATATATATTAGATCTTTCTGAATTGAAAAAAGTATATGGAATACGGGGAAGAAAACACTTCAAACCCAGCTCATGAGCCGGGATTTGAAGTGTTTTCTTCCCTGTATTCCATTTTTTTTTTAATTTAGAGAGAACTAATATATATCCTCTCATACACCTGCAGACCCTCAGGTGCACAGCAGTACCCAAATGCAGTGCTTTTCAAACTCTAGAATGCCTTACTATCCTTTAAACACTTTGTCAAAACAGTTTTTAGGCCCCATTTCCCAAGATTCTGATTTGAAGGCTGGGTGTGGTTGGTGCACACCTTTAATCCCAGCAAATTTTTTTGAGTTATTTATTTTTATTTTATGTGCATGAATGTATTGTCATGTGTGTAAGTATACTCATGTCATACAATGCCTGCAGAGGACAGAAGAGGACATAGGATCCAGACAGTTGTTAGCTGTCATGTGGATGCTGGGATTTGAACCCAGGTCTTCTGCAAGAATAGTCAGTGCTCTTAACCACTGAGCCATCTTGCCAGTCCCCCCCTTCAGCACTTTTAACACTTAAGTAATATTCATTCACCCCCATCTGCCAGAGAAAATACACGGTTGTTTCCTTTGCTTATAGTTTACCATGTTAACCTAAGAATAGCATGTAGTATATGCACACATTAAAACATTACAATATAAAAGTGAAAAGTTTTCTTTCTTACCTCTAGTACTTAGAGGTAACTATTCCAGAAATAACCCACATTTATGCATTCATAAATATATTCTTAAATATATATGAATGGTCCTGCTTATCCTGCTTCATAATCACTCATTCTGCTGGCCCAAGAGTTAATGGTCTAAAAATATGTGCCCGTTTATAAGTTGAATGATCCTTTCTCTTTTCAATGTACTGTTACCAAGTGCTAATTAACTAGTAGCTGAAATGTAGCTAGAAAAGTGCTTTAATTTCAAATTTAATTTCAAGTGCCCAGAATTTGCAATGCAAAATGTCCCCTTGAGCTGACAGCCTCATGCTCTGTACCCATTAAAACCTCCACATGCAGAATTAATTCTTACTTTGTACACAAAATGTGGTTTGTTACAAATGCTAGTAGCTCTACAGTTTGACAAAGGATTCTATAAGGCACAATAAACTCAAAAATATATATATACCTCAACTGAAAAATATGTAAAAATACTTAGTTTGGCAAAATAGATAAAAATGTAATCATTTAATCCTCTTTAAAATCCTCATAACAGGGACTAGAGAGATGGTTCAGCAGTTAAGAGCACTGGATGCTCTTGTAGAGGACCAGGGTTCCAATCCCAGCACCCATATGCCAGCTAGCAACCATCTGTAACTCCAGTTCCAGGGGATCCAACGTCCTCTTCTGTCCTCCTCCAGCACCATACAACATGAGTGCACTCACATACATGCAGGCAATACACTCATACACACAAAATAAAAATAAGTCAATTAAAAAGTATTTTTTTAAATCCTCATAACAATAAAAGACAACACACTGATGTTTCTGGACACAAAGGCTCCTCAGCCAAGATGTGGGATCTTTCAAAGGTGGAAGGTCAGTGCATCCTAGGAGACGGGATTAGTTCTAGCCAGCTTCTAATAGGCATTAAAGACATTCCCCCCCCCGAAAAGTTACACAATTGGACCTGTGCAATCCACTTACCGGATACAACAGCATCTCCATTGAGGTACAGGGTCATGCCCAATAGCATCATGATGCTCAGTGCCAAGATGTAGGGCCTTCGGCGGCCCCATCTGGCCTGGCAGTGGTCACTGAATGATCCTACCACAGGTTGCAGCAGGAATCCCAGGATGGGGCTGAGGAGCCACACCATGCTGTACAGACTTTTGGGCAGGCCCACACTCAACAGAACTGGAGTCACATAAGCTGCCTCCACTGCATAGCAAAACTCTCGGCCAAACATGGCCATGCTGTGCATGACCAGCCTCCCGGTGGATCTTTTGGGTGGGTCCATGGTGCCAAAGGGGTAATCCTCAGTCAGGGACTGATAGGTATGGGTGCCAGACTGACCATCGTTACCACCCATGACCACCGGGGAAATAACCTTCCTGCACAGTCCTCTGGCTTGCACTCCAAAGCGGATTTGACATGGAGCCTGGCTGAGCAGAGATGGTCAGGCTGGGGGAGGGGCTGAAATTCTTTCATGCCTCTAAGATCACAAGTTATGATGAGAAGCAAAGGGGTGTTGGCACTTGGAAAGCGTGAGAGAGATTAGCTGCTGGGAGCCCTCTGGCTCCCTAGAATGCTCAAGTGCTTTTCTGAAGGGATCTTCCTTCTCAAGAGTTTCTCAGTTTCTCAGTTTCTCTCT